CCGTGAGATTAGATGAACTAAACCCTAAGTGAGTAGGATAATGGTTGTTCTTCTAGCCTCTACGGACTAAACCCTCTGGCTTATGTAGACACTAGGGGTACTAGGGTTACACATGGTCAGTTAAAAGGAAGGAATAATCATGTTGCTTCTTATCTTGACTTGGAGGATACACCAAGGCATCAAAGATCTCCTGTCCGGATATGGAGTCGCCTCATAGTTCGGCCTTCTAGTAGGTGCAGTGCAGCCCACCTGTCTGACCCATAAGAGATAGGCCAGCAGCCTGAGGACCCCCTACTATGGGACTCCCTCACTAGCCATACAAACACCAAGAAGCCATAGAGAACCAAAATTTTCCAAAAAAAATCTAGATGGGGGTACATACCCCTCCCCAATTCATCACGTTATAAAAAAACTTGACAAAGTACAAACCAAATGGTTCCAGCATGTAAATAGGGTGGTCATCATCTTCATTGGGGATGTAATTACGTAGCACAACTAACAACTCATGCCGTCTAACTAGAAAGTCAGCATCCACACACCTTCTGAATGTGATTTTAAGTGTGCAACCATCGTAGACTTGGGAAACACTACAATGTTGTTGTTGGAATATTTCAAACACATCCCAGAACCTAGTTTTCAGTGTCATCCCTCCGCCCAGATATCATGCCAAAAGCTAATGTGAGTCCCATTTCCCAACATCCATTTATAGAAAGGCCTAACCCCGGAAAGGGCCCAAGTAATCCCTTTCCAAAATGGGGAGCCAACATTAGTTCTGCACCAAAGAAGATTAGGTTTATCGGTACTATACTTATGCTTCGATAGGGCAATCCAATTTTTATCCCCTCCCCTAAGGGACGAAGAGGCCAACAAGGCTAGGTTGAACTCCCTAACGTTAACCACACCCAAGCCCCCCCCCACCAAAGATATTTTGGGGGATACAAATCCCCAATTGGCAAGGTGGTACCTGTGCACATCTCCCAAGTTACCCCAGAAAAATGGGCCTTCTGAGAAATAATAACTCTAATAGCCCATTTAGGACATTTTATTATAGACATGAGATACATTGGAATGCTAGCAATACAAGTTTGTAAAAGAATGGGCTTACCCACATGGCTTAGTAATCTGCCCCTCCTACCACGTATCCTCTTAATGATCTTATCAATAATAGGTTGAATGTCCTCCTCCTCAACTCAAGGCAGTGTAGAGGAACTCTTAAGTATTTAAGAGGGAAAGACCCAATTTTAACACACAAAATCTAGGAAAGTAGTTTAGCAGAAGCATTAGCAACATTGATGGTCAATTGATCACATTTATCATATTTAATTCTCATTCCAGATATCTGATCTAAACAAGAAAGTAACCACTTTAAGTTTTTTTTGCATAGGCGGGGTCAGGATCTAAAAACAGAATCGTATCATCGACACGTTGTAAATTGATCAGACTCATAGGTATTATATAAGGAATAATCCCACGAATAATATTGGCTATAATAGCTTTGGCTAGGATCCTAGAGAAAGCATCTTCAACATGGTTAAAAAAGTATGGGGGAGAGGGGGTCTCCTTGCTTGAGCCCTTTCCCCCAACAAAGTATGGACCATTAGTATCATTGATTCTCACACAAAATGAGCTTTCTTAAAGTATGGACAAGATCCAACCAATCCATTTGTTGCCAAACCCTCGGGAAGTTATCATTTCTACTAGAAAGTCCCAATTAACTCGATCATAAGCTTTTTCATAATCTAACTTGAGGACAACCCCAAGCCTACTAGAACTATGCACCTCATGAATTGCTTCATGGGCCGTAACCACGCTTTCTAGAATGAATCTAACCCAGACAAAAGCAGAATGATAAGGAGACAAGAGTCTTTGACCAAAAGGAGACACTCTATTGGTCATGGTGTTGCTAAAGATCTTAACGAAGCGGTTACTAAGGCTAAAAGGCCTAAACTTCCTCATGTCCTTGGCATCAGGCTCTTTGTGTATCAAAGTTAAAATGAAGTAGTTAAGCCTTCGAATATCCAAAGAGTCATTTTCAAAATCCCTGGCCAATGTCATAATGTCTTCTTTGATCAAATTCCAGAAGTTTTGGTAGAATAAAAAAGACAAGCCATTTGGGCCAAAGGCCCCACTTGCATATGATCCCATTATAGCTTATTTCCACCACCACCATCCTCATCTGTCGAGACCCATCTCCTATTCTGATCTCTCACACAAGGACAAGGAATAAGTTACCGTAACAACAAGGGACTGGGATGCCACCGTCGACAAAGAGCAGGCGATGGTCTTGGTTAGGAAGAGACTGCGGGCGCGAGGAGTTGCATGATGTGTTATTCGAGCCATTAGTCGTCGAAGACATGAGGAAAACAACAGTGAGCTCCATGACGCTTGCGGCATGTCTTCTCCCAACCTGACTATGCATGTGGCAGCAGGGAAGATAGGCCGACGAGCTCCCGCATCCGCCATGAGATTGGCTCGAGTTGAGGTTTGCAGCAGGAGAGGGGGAGGAAAAGAAGAAATCGGAGTGGGATGAGCGTGCGGAGAGGCGGATGTGTGCGGCAGCATGCCAGATTGCAAGGCGGAGGTGTGCTACAGAGGCAGCTATGGGGATTGAGTCGAGAGTTGCGGTTGTGCTCCTCGAAGAGCTCCTCATGGGAACTGTATCCAAATGCTGGTTTTCAACCACTTGTAAAATATTGGGATCTTCCGTGGAACAGTAAAATACACCTGTATGATATTTCCAGGTGTATAATTTTACATGGCTCTCAATCGGGGCCTTAAGCTATCAAGGCTGCGGTCCGCCCATCAAGGCAACCATAGTTCTATGTACCTTCAACATGAATTTGCTCTAGTAGAGGCACGATGGGAAACAAAGCATCGACTCCCTTATGTGAAACGATGCTAAGAGCATTGCATCTCTCAAAATAGACTTTCATCCCACTTCATATATAAAGTACAGCTCTAAACGATACATGATGTTAAGAAAATCCTCAAAAACTGATCAAAAGTGAAAAGAATAAGAGAGAACACACAAGACGCTAAAAATGCAGAAAAATGCACTACCGAACACCACCAAAATGCCGCCGAGGAAAAACGCAGGAGATACGCTGCCACTGATAGCCACCCACACATTGATGACGCCCCAAGAAGATAACGCCCTCAGGCGCCGCACCATTGCGTCAACTAAAGCAGACAAAGCCTTCACCCTAAGTGCCTACGGGAGGGAAAGGACCAAGGCGGCGCCCCAAGAGGAACGACGCATCCGAAGGCATCACCGCCGCTGGCGCTAAGACACTAAGCTTCCCCCATCGATGGCGCTAAGACACTAAGCTCCCCACACATCGATGACGCCCCCACACATCGATGACGCCCCCAAGAAGATAACGCCCTCGGGCGCTGCACCATCGCATCAACTAAAGCAGAGGAAGCCTTCGCCCTGGGTGCCGAGGGGAGGGGGGGACCAAGGCGGCGTCCCAAGAGGAACGAGGCACCCGAAGGCATCACCGCCGCTGGCGCTAAGACACTAAGCTTCCCCCACCCACCACCATGTTGCGGGAACAGGTCAAAGACCAACCCCGACGAGGGACCACCACGACAGGTCGAGTACTCCAGATCCAGATTGAGGCTAACCTGACACCGCCGGTGACAGTTTGCGAGGACCATCGGCCACCGCGCACCCCGACACACACATGCCCAAAAAACTCATCTTGCCTCTATTTATTTTGGGGTAGGGGATATATAGGGCACTCTATTGCACTCCCAACTCCCGCCTCCTACTGTAGGTCACATTGCCACGCCAACAGCCAGACCCCGCCAAATCACCCCGCGTCTCACCATCGTTCCATTCTTTCGTTGCCTGCCCTTGCACTGCCTCAACTCCCACCCCATCATCGCCGTCGAAGACAATGCAGACATCACTCCTCCATCCCTCGTTGGCGCAGCACTACCTCTTCCCACCATTGCCACCTTTGTAGCTATCCCATCCATGTACAATCGTGTTGCCACTGAAGATGGTGTGGGCAATGCTCCTTCTCCCCTCGTCTGCGCCTAACATTGCCGCCACCTAACAACCCCATCTCTACACAAACGCGTTGCCCCGCGCGCCCAGGGTGCAAGGGCACGATCAGCCGTGGAAAAAGGCGGCGGCTCCAATGAGGTCCTCTCTTCCCTGATTGGGTTGGACAGCGAGAGCGAGAAAAGGAAGAAAAGAAAAATATGTAACCCACCCAAGGTGTGTACCATGTGAAAAAAGAATTATAGAGCTTCATCCTGGAGTCGGCCCTCTAAAACCATCATAGAGGCTCTAGAGAATTTGTTAGAATAGCTCATCCTGGAATGCGTTGGTACAAATACCGGCCAGGAAATCAATCCTAGCGCCATTCACTAGGGCCTGCACATGCCCTAATAGGCCGATCTGGCACAGCAATTATCTCTAAACCACATGGAGAATCGAAGATATCATAACAACACAGCGGCAGTGGCTTTCTCAATAGTCAGAACACATCCACAAAATCTGTAGGAGACAAAATCAGAAATAACACATCTAGTAAAGTGGCCTGAACAGCTTGGACTTCAGATAATCTACATGGTTTCAGAAATATAGTCTGATGTGAGTATATGAAGATTGTACGACACCAGGTCTACACTTTAATCTCTATATAGACTCCACAATAAATTAAAATATATGGAGAAACCTTGCAGACTTAAGGCAGAAATGTTCATAACGTCAGAGGAAGAGCAACATAGTAAAGTCACCAAAAGTCATTTATTCTCTATAAGATTCATTCATAGGATGTCATAATAATAATAATAATAATAATAATAAAACTCGCAAGGTTCTAGCTAAATCCAATATGGTTTTATTCTGTATAAGTAACAAGTAACTCATAAGTCCAATCGGTAAAAATTCCACAAACTAAAATAAGAAAGAACGGCTATCTAGTTCCCAAAAATCCCTGTCCAGAAAAGAAAATGGAAGGTTCTTGGCCTGGTTGTGAACCCTCTCAGTTGGCGTTTACACCGGTAGAGTCGAGGAAGCCAGGGTGTAGGGCCTCCAGATCCTCAGGCTTATTTTTTGCCGCTTGCTGCCCTTGGAGAGCTTGCACACACTCGTTAACTTTTGCAGACAAGGTATCCTGCGAATTCAGCATCGAGAGCAAATAAGAAGTATCCAGCTCCAGCAACATTCCAGTGATCTTACTGGCCAGATCAGGCTGCAACAGACAGGGCATACCAAGTTAGTGCAACTGCTAGGTCCCTCAGTTATTGGTTTTGAAAGAAGCAAAATAAGGGATTAAAGTAGATGAGGAATTACATGATATCTCTCGACCAGTGGATATATCCTATTCCCGAGCATATCCCTTTGTTGTTCAGGTGGAGCAGCAGCCAGCAAGCTGGCAAAAGAATCATTCAGCGACGAAATAGGGCCGCCGTGATGGATGGCCAGGCCATTGCTCATAACATCAGGTGGAATGTACTTTGCATGAGCGAATTGCTGCATGACAGGTAGCAGTTTAAACTCTCCAAAAGGAAATGAATTATGCATAACTGGATCAGATAATGTTAACTATGTCCAAGGTAGTTCCCTGCCTAGCAATCCATGCTAGTGAAGTTCTGTCACAAGACAACGTCTAGGTAGTATAATTGAATTGGCAATAGTAACAGGTTGCACCTTAAACTCTTCAGAAGGAAAGAATTATCAAGTACTGTTAATTAAT